TTTATGTTTTTCAATTATAATAAAAATGAGCTCTTCATGTATTTTGCCCATTACTGTTTCTCCTGCAGTGAAGAATGTGCTTTTTGTGCAGATGTAGGACTTTTATTTTTCTTACTGTGGACATCCACCATGTTCTATGCAGAATTTGGAAATTGCTGTCCTCAGGATATTCATTTCTTATTGCTGCTGTAACTAGTGCAGACTTAAACTCCATGGCTTCAGTGAATTTTCCGGAGTCGAGGAGTCCTCGTGGTCCACAGCGGCCGAGCATCCCAGACCCGCGGGCCCTGCTGCCCTTCCCGGGACCCCGGCCAGATGCCGGGCACAGCCCCCTCGGCCTTCAGCCTGCATCTGGCTGGGGCGTCCTGGTCCAGGCTGGGTCCCCCGCCAGGCTCACAGCCAGACCCGGCTGTGCAGCCCCTCTGCAGCGCCGTGGGTATGGTGCCATGGTGCTGATGCCCTGGAGGTGTCTGACTGTCCTTGGACTTTAATATTTTCAAACAAAAGCCAGAAAGAGTTCGTAAAATAATCCAGATCCTGTTGTGATAGCAAATGGAATTGCATTAGCTACAGGTTAAATTCTGTGTCACGGTGACGTGACCTTGTGAACATGCTCACCACAGCTGTGCAGTGTCTTAATGGGCTTTTATATTCTCCACAAATGTTGAAAATACATAGGTATATTCATTCCTAGAATACTTTTTGCTGTGCATATGTGTGTGCGTGTGTGTGTGTGTGTCTTCATAAAAAAACACTTTCTAATCATGTGTTGCTGGTATGCAAAAAATACAATTGATTTTTATATTGATTTTGTATAAAGCACCTTGGGAGGCTTTCTTACTAATATCTTGAAAATACTTTAAGTTCCCTATGTATATAATTATATAAGCTGCAATTTTTTTCTTTCTGATGTTTCTAAATTTGTCTTACCAAGTAATATATTTTTGTGTTGAGTAAAATATCAATAATGTGCATCTTACGTTACTATATTTCTGATATAATTTTACCATTAAGTCTACTGTCATTATTTTGAGTAGAAATCCTTTATCAATTGGGAAAGTTGTTTTTACTGTTTAGGTGTGTGAATTTTCATCCTGATTAAATTTGAATGTTGTCAAATTATTTTTTGTTCAAATATAATTTTATCTTTTACTCCACATTAATATTTTTTAAGTAGGAAGATATTTATTGATAGAGCTCCTGAGGAGCAGGAGGGGGTCCCAAGTTGGTAGCCCGAGGACCCCACTTTACAGAGGAGGTTTATAGGGTGAACCCCAGGAGGGAACAATGTGGGCCACAGCCGTGAACATCCAAGAAGGTTACAAGTACAGTCGCTTAGGTAATGGTGTCCAATCGGGAAACAAGTCACGTAGTAAGCGTGGAAGGAAAGAACATGGATTCTTCTAGGAGACAGTGGGTCCAGAGGTCTCTGGTCACCCCCAGGGTGGTCAATGCCTAGCTGTACTTCTCCAAGCCCAGTTCTTTGAAGAAGTCTGTGTGTGTGGTCATTTTGTCTCCATCTTGAGGCCTGGTTTCCAGCTGACGGGCATCTGGGGTGTGTTTCACCTTTGTTCTGGCTCTCTCGAGGACTTAGCCCTGTCTGACTGCCTTTAGTGTCTCTCCCTAACTCTTCCATCCATAAAATTCCCCCTCTGAAGGAGAATCCTGAGCTGCTGAGAGGGGAAAAGGGGCAATGAATCCTCTGGCTACTTCAGGCTGAAGGGGTCCTAACTGTGCTTGGCAGTCAGAGATAACCGTCTGAAGGACTATCGAAAGGTCCTCGACAGGCACCAGGCACTTCCTTCATGGGTAGGATACAGCTTTCAGTCTGGAGGAGACAAGGCCAGAAAGACAGTGAAGTACACATGGGCCAAACAATAACATCAACAGGAATATTGTGTCTATAGCCATAAGCTCCCTTTGGATGAAAGAAGTCTTGCCACATTGTGGGGCGTGTATGCAGTGGGATCTTAGCCTAAAATCAGGGTGGATGCCTCCAGAATTAGGACAGCTGCTGCAGCTACAGCTCTAAGGCATGCAAGCCATCCCTTTGCTACATATCTAGTTCATGACTTAGAAATCCCGCAGGCATTTGAGCAGGTCCTCAATCCTGAGTAAGTACTCCTAAAGCCATTTCCTACCTTTCTTCAACATACGGATTGAAATGGTGTCTTGTCAGTAAGCTCAGTGCAGGGGCATTTAGAAGTGCTGTTGTAAGCTTCTGGAATGCAGTTTGGGAATCAGGTTTCCAGGTTCAAATATGGGTATCTGTCTTTTGGGTTGCTTTTATAAACTGATAAGTTGTGCAATCTCACCATACCCTGCTATCCAAAGGCGACCCATAATTCCTAGGAATCCCCTTAGCTGTTTTAGGGTCTTAAGCAGTGGGAAGGAAAGCATTGGTTTAATTCTTTATTTCCCTAGTCTTTGGATTTCCTTAGATATGATAAGGCCTAACTATTTTACATCAAGACTACAAAGTTGTGCTTTAGATCTAGAAACCTTATAAACCCTATCTGCTAGAAAATGTAGCAGAGCTCTGGTACCTTGGCTAGAGAGATCTTCTGAGGGGGGCACATACCAATATATCACCTGCATATTAATTCATTAATAGGAAAATTATAATGAGTGATTATAAATCCTGAACTACTTTTTGTTTCTAAGATAATATATCACAGTCATGATGTATTCTTTTGTATGTATGTTAGGTTTGGTTATGCTGTTTTGTTATTTGGGTTTTTTCTTTGTGTACTCATGAATAACTTTAGGCTATAAATGTCATTTTCTGGCATAGCTTTGGTATGAAGGTATTAGCCTGCTAGAATGAGTTGGATGGTATTTTCCCATTCCTTTGTTTTTCTTCTCTCAAATATTCTCAAAAACTATGCATGTTATGGTATCAATCATTGACTAATCCCTTCCATTTGCATATAAACATATTCTTCTCCTAGAATTGATGTTACCCTATTTATGGCTAAATAATGATTGTGAATAAAATGTGATGAATATTCTTATGCAACTTTTTGTGAACGTATGTTCTTATTCATCTTGGACAGTCTCTGGAGTATAACTGCTGGGCCATAGTAGAGCTGGACATTTAAATTCATGAAAAAACTGCTCAATTTTTTCAAAGTAGTTATATCATTTTAAACTGCCAACAGTGATTGCTTCAGGAATTCCACATTTCTGCCAACATTTGGTTTTGGTCTTCTTTTACTTTTACCCATTATGGAGCATATGTATTTGTTATTACTGATTTGATTGGGTTCATGTAGGTACTCAGTTCTAGTTGTTTTAGAAGTATCTTCTCCTGTCTATGGCTTGTCTACTTGGTTTTTAAAATAGGCTATGGGTCTGCCTGTATGTGTGAGTGTGTGTGTGTGTGAGTGTGTGTGTGTCCGTGCCTGTGCTTCCTAATTAATCTTTTTCTACCATAAATTTATAAAACAATTCATGCATATTTTCTTCTTAGAATCTTTATTATTTTCATTTTTTTACTTTTATGTCTGTGTTCAGTCTTAAAACAAGTTTTGCCCAAAGCATTAATAGTTTTACTGTTGCTGCTTTTGTTTTGTTCTCATTTTTATGCATGCAGGTATATAACTTCTTCAACACTGTTTGTTGAAAGACTTTTCCCATTTTGTTGCCCTGGCACAACTATTGAAAACCAGTTGACCATGGATGTGTTTATCTGTTTATGTATATAAACAATCTATACCCCAGTGCAATATTGAGTAGAATTCTTAAGAGATCTTCTTGTTTTTATCGTGAATGTTGGGAACAGTCATTACTTTTCTTCCACCATTACAATGCATTCTAAAATATTTTAGTAATGTGTACTTTTTTTAAAAAAAACACAGTATTGAGATGCGTTTCACATACTATTAGTAAGGCCCACTGAAAGGGTACAGACCAAGTGTTTTTAGTTTGTTTACAGTCACAGAATCATCACTACCATTAATTTTTAAAATTTTCATCATCCAAAGAAGAAACTCTAACCACGGGTACTCAAGGTCCCTTCCTCACTCTCTCATCTGTTGTGTGCACCACCACTCCCCAGACTCAGGCAGCTGCTTGAGGAATATGACGTATTTCTTACTGTGCGTAGGATCATGGTTTTAAAGAATACTAAAACCCCAAATTGAAGGAAATCACTTAATTTTAATTATGTTTGTCCTTCATGCTCTTAACATAGCTTTGGGTGCATTTTAATCTCTTTGCACTTTTAAATTAAGTATTTATAGCATGAAAGATGACCAGGTCATTGTGTTGATAATGTTCCTTCTGGTAGCTGACGTGCATACCCTGAGGACTGCTCTTAGTCCTCCTGTTAAAATCTGTGTTTTAGGATGAATAAACAGTGTACATGACCCTGCAATGTTTCATTTAAACTGCTTTGTATATATGTTCTATTTGTACACTTTGAATTTTCTGACCCTAGGAACAACTCTGTAGCATAAAGAATATAAGATGGGAGGGTAAAAGTCTCTTTTTATCAAATGATGAATTTTATTATAGAATGTTACAGGCACAAAGTTTAAGAAATATGAACACTATATTTTAATTTTAAAAACAAATTTAAAACATTTTATTTAAAAATAAATTTGAACATTTTTTTAGTGTTCATGGTCAGTAGATGTACATTAAATTATTTTTTGTTTCAATTTTTTGTTTCAGTAATCTGTAAGTAGCTTTAGAAATTTTACATATCACTATGACTTACTCTAGTGAAGTGATTTATTTATTTTGTTGTATAAGTAAATAGTACATGTACACAAGATGGTGTCGATTTTGGTCTTCTTTTAGGAAGAGGGATCTCCTTTGAAATGGTTCTCAGAGGTCGGAAATGTATGTGTGAGACAGAGGGAGGGAGAGAGGGGATTGGGTTATAAGCCGTTCTCAGTGGCTAAGCTTGAATGTCAGGTAACCTTTCGATTTTTCTTGGTAAAGACCATACTTTACTACAACTGCAAAGACATTCTGTTGTTTTTTTTTCCTAGTTCAATTTTGTGGGGAAACTGCTTGGACCAAGAGGAAACTCCTTGAAGAGGCTACAGGAAGAAACAGGAGCTAAAATGTCTATCCTGGGCAAAGGATCCATGAGAGACAAAGCGAAGGTACTGAGCCTGAAGCCTGATACTTGTGCGTGTGTGTGGAGCAAGGCGCCATTGTGCACGCCCGAGGTGCTCCTTCTTCCCTTTCCTGTGACTGTCTCCTCTGGGACCCCTGGTCCTGCTCTGATGCCTCTTCTGGTTCATAAAATGTCCTGTGTTCTCATTCTGTTCATTCCTTTGTGTAGTTTGCCATCAAATCTTTCAGTTTTTGCATCCTCCGTCAACGCTTCTGTGTGTCTGTGTTCCTTTTCTAAAAAATTCCCCAGCTTTTCTAAATAAATTCCCTTATTTCTTCCATCATATCACCTAATCACATCTGTTGTGTCATTCTCTCACTGTATCTCCCTGCTCTATTTCACTTTGATCCTCTTACCTGAAGCGGTTTCAACTACTTATCTGCAAATCTAAGAGAATCCTGGTTATTTCTTGAAATGTGTTGATGATATTAGACAGTGCCCCTGACTCCCAAAAGAAGGGTAAGCCAAGAAATGTGTTGAGTTCGATATTTGGAATGATTTGCTTCAAGTGTAAACTACATCATTACTATTTTATGAAGTTATAGGAATTTCTCTTAGAATTCCGTGTTCGAAGGAAATAACTATTTGTAGGAATTCCTTTGTAAAGTACCTTTAAAAAATCATTGGGAAGTGGCGGACATGTGTGGTGGCATCATTTGATCTGGCCATGTTTTTATAATTTTACATATTATGTCACTAAAAAATTGAAATACTCATAATTATTTCAGATTATGGGAATACTTAGAAAATCACTAAGAATTCTGTCTTCATACTGAGATCTCAAATGAAGGAATTTATAGTGAGAAATGTCATCAAATCAATGTAAAGTATATGTCATATAAAATATTTTATTTTTATTATAATCTTATTTAGACTTTAAACAATATGTTTGATAAGAGCCTTATTTTAGAATGGACCAATAATCACCCTTAAAATAGGGGAAGGATAGTTTATGTCAGCCTTTTCTTCTGGATGACTTTTGATTATTCTGTGCTGTGTAATTCAGTAATGAATGCTTTCTTGCCAATCTTCCTGGCTCTGCTCTGTCTGGCTGTGCTTAGAAGGAATATTACAAGTACCTTCAGGCATCTAGTCATGGGATAGGCCTTTACCCTCTGCAACAAACCAATTTATATTTTTTAAATAAGAAATGACATTGATGCATAACAATATATGTCTACTTTTGTAGATTCTTTGATATTATTTTATGATATTCTCAATAAGTCTTACATATAAACTTAATACTGTGTACTTTTATGTTCTTATGTATGCTGTAATATTGCCTCTCATCAGAGATCCCCTGAGCTTGTGTAATAGGTAGGCTAACTGCACTTTTATCACTAAACTCTTTTGCTGCACTGTTTATCGTGTTAATCTGGAAGCTTTCACAGATAGGGAAATGCACTCATCATCCACCCAAATGCGGAAACTTCATGCTGTCACCCGCTGTCTTTTTAAAAAGATAGGTAACTTTTCATCCCTATGTGTTCAGACAGTGTTTCCTTAACACAATGTTATAAATGGGATTCCTTTTCCCACTTGGGCTTACTAGTACCAGCATAAGCACTAGTATGAAAATCCAGTCAGAAGCAAATTCAGTTTACTACCACACGTCTATTAAGCATCCATTAGGCTTAATTTACTGGCATTACTCGTTACTTAATATTCCCTTTCTCATTTTGGGGTGGTAGATTTTTTTGGCTCTGCTTTGTGTGTTTTCATATTTCTGTTTAACACAAAATAATGTTTACTAATGATAATAATATATCATACTTTAAAATATATTTTCTCAAAACTAGATGGAGTCTTAACCGTTAAGGTTGAGATTAACTGAAAGAAAACCATGGGTGTGGTTATGAAAAACATTACCTTAGTTAAGCTTTGTTAAAATAAGGTCAAATCATTGGTGAAGTTAACACTGTGCTACTATTTTGCCTTTCTTTCACAGGACATGAACAGGAAGTTTTTGTATGATTTATTCCTTTTGGGGAGGAGCGTACTGGGGATCAAATTCAGAACCTTATGCTTGGGAGGAAAGTGGGGACTGCACCCCTGGATTTTATTCTTCATGAGAAGTAAATAGATCTCATTCTGTATTGAAAGCACATGTAGATGTGTGGAAACTCGGATATGTCCATGCATCAGTTGAAGTAGTGCTTATTTAGTACACTGTATATCATTCATTGTTGCAGTTTACAGAATAAAAATCATAATGCGCTGCCCACCTCAGAATTTTAATTTCAGTAAAATAAGTGAGTAAATTTTATATAGCCAGACATTGATAATTAGATGGAGAGAAAATAAGTGGGGCTGGGGATTTAGCTCAGTGGTGCCGCCACCTGCTTCTCAAGAGCCAGGTCCAGAGTTCAGAGTTCGATCCTTGGTACCAGTGAGAGAGCACGAGAGAGAGAGAGAAAGAGAGAGAGAGAGAGAGAGAGAGAGAGAGAGTGACGGTGAAGGGAAAGCCGCTAAAGGTGGGAGAAGCAGCATTCGGAGGCAGTCAGGCAGAGCGTCACATGTGGAGAAGGGACCGGCTGCACAAACGCCACCCACTAGAGCGGCGAGGCTGCATACGCCCCTCTCTGTAGCGGGGCGTGCGACCTGCAGCGGTGCGCTGTCCGCCCTGTCCCCCCGCCCGCCTGGTTTTCTCAGACCCCTTCTCAGTGGAGCTTGGAGAAGCTCTTTGCCGCCGCCATCTGTGACTGGATCCTCTTTCTCCTCCCGATTCCAATCTCAGGGCTTCCCCTTCGTGACCGCGTACCGTTGATGTCTTTCTGAATCTAACATGTGTGCCCTTGAGTGACAGATTCTGGATTTACCTATGTGCCAGTTCAGAATGCCAGTGGAACGTCGTCCAAACACACGCACAGCTCACACCCACGCGCTCACACGCACACCCGTCCGCCACGGGGATCTGTATCTCCACAAAGGCTGCTGGGCTGGACTTGGGCAGCCCCCACTCGGTCCTCTCCTAGCCGGGCCTCAGTACCCACCGAACTGTAGCTGTGTCTGGTTAGTCTGTTTGCAAGCACCAAGGAGTCCACATGCTGCAGTGAATCCACTTTTGACATTTTGCTTGACGAAAGACCTGACGGGTTCCCCAGGCTCTCCTCCTACGGAGGGAGCCAGCTCAGTGGGCCCTGCTGCCTGCTCTCAGCGTTATTGTTTTCTTCGCATTTGTTTGAAAATGTTGGTGCAGATTGTTTTCCTGGATCAGGTGTGCTGCCACCGTAGTTTCAAACGAGTTTTAAAGTTGGTTTTTATCGCATGATGGAGAATTTTTATATGAAGAGCACTGTTTAAATTCAAATATTTACTTTATATGTGCTGTGTGCTCAGTATATTCACTATTATGTTGCATAAAAATATTAAACATGAACCAAGTGTTCACGAAGCTTATAGTTTAATTAAACATCGTGACCTGTTTAAAAATCTTTTAAAAAATAATTAAGAAAGTATCTATCATGTGAATTAGTAGGGAGAGAGATGTCGGAGTCATTTAATTTTGATTCTGTGCATCTAATAAGACTTTTAATCCTTAGATAGAAACAAAGTTTTAAGATTTATTCCCAGATCATTATTAAATTAATTGCTTATTATAGAAAATCATTGCAGTGGCATGGAGTGAGAAGATTCAGGATGTCTGCGTTTCTGTCTGTGTTATTTCATTCTTGGCAGTGATGAGGAAATATTATTTTCTATTTAATTACATCTAAACTCTGTTGGCAAAGAAGGAAAACAAACACCAAAACCAAGACAGAACTCAGTACTAGTCAAAGTAAGAGAAGTAGTAAATCCTATTCATCCACTCGTGACTTCCTTTCCCATGAGGATCAGATCCCCAAACCCAAGAGATTGGCCTGCTGAAAACTCCAGGAACACATGAACAGAAGCTAAAATTTGAACTGTGAGATGAATGGTGTTCTTGGAGAAATCTAGAAAGTGAGGTCTACAGTATGTGTTTATTGTTTCAAAATCCTTCAGGAAATTAACTGACAATGCAGGAATGAAAGTCTTCACTTCCTGGAGAGCTGGCTGGCTCTACACAGCCACGTGGCTGCTGCTGATCCCTGAGTTGCTCCCAAGCAGCAGCTTTCAGGGTGACTTACTGTAGCTTTGTGGGACATTGCTGTTTTTGGTGGTGCTGGTGGCAGAGGTTGGTGTGGGAGAAGGGAGGAAGCAGTGGTTCTACAGCACTCACCTTCAGAAACAGAGAGGAGCAAACCTATTATCCTCACGAAAAGAGGCTACAAGTGGAGAGAAGTTAGAGCACAACCAGACAAGAGTACGGAAATGGGAATACGTGAAAGTAAATTTCTTGCACACTTACTTGGTTGTCCCTAAATGGGAATTATAAAGGACCATCGCAAAAGAATTTCCCTGTGATGAAAAGTGTGCTGGCATAGCTATTGATGAGAATTCGGTGTTAAACCGGGCCAGGGAGGAGCACTTTAGGAGGAGAGGGATTTCTGCTGGCGTTTTATTTGAACATGTGTAATTCTCAAGGCAAGTGTTGGTCTTTGAAGTACTGATAACGTGTGGTTTCTGTTTTTTGATACATCTTCTGTATTTGGTGATGGCTACTTTAGCAAATCCTTTCTGATTTCATGGCAAGATTGATTTTCATCAACAATAAAATCAATTAAAAACCTTCAAAGAGACACGGCTGCCTGGTGGGCACCTGGGTGTGAGCCTGGCCTTGCCTCCTCTCTCTCTTGGCCTCTGGGCTCTGCACACATCAAACAGCCTGCCGTCTATCAGGTCCAGGAGGGCAAAGCTGTGCTCAGCGCCTGTCGGTCAGGCTGTGATTGGGTCCACAGACTCCTGCGTCAGCGCCTAGATATCCACACCGGAGCTGTCAGCTCCCAGCACTCTGACTTTGGCTTTAACTCTGCCCCTAATAAAGTTCGCAGTAGAACAATGCCAGTTCTACCCCGGCTTCCCTGGAGCAGGAGAGAATTCCTAGCTCATCTTGGCTTGGCTTCC